CTCGCGCAGTGCTCGCCGGGCTGATCATGGCGGATGCCATCGATGAGCGCCTCGCGCGCGTGTTCCTGATGTCGACGCCTGGTAATCCAGATGCCGCCGTCGCGCAGAGGTTGGCCAACCACTATGACATCCCGTTCGAGAATGACGGGATCGAAGCCTCGCTAGAGGGGCACCTGTTCGAGAGGATGAAGAAGCACCTCTGGCGCACGGAAGGGTTGCTCCATTCCTGGGATATCAAGTGGACGTCTCCACCTGCTGCTCGCGTCACGCTCAATGGTCACTTCGGGGAGTCCTACCGATCGCACTTCGAGCGCAACCTGGTTCGCCCCTGGAGCATCGCGGCCAGTCGATTCACCCACGATCGCTTCGTGGATCAGCATGACCTCTTAAACCCTTCCATGAAGGTGATGGTTCGCGGCAGGATGGGGCATTGGTTGGAGCGCTCGCGAGAAGAGGGCGTCAAGGCGATCGAGCTGCGCGATACCTGGCATCGGCAGTGTCGCATGTGGAAGTGGGCGAGCTTGATCCAACTGGGAGATGGCCTGGGGGGACTGGTGATCAACCCGCTCGCCAGCGGCGCCTTGCTCGCGGGTTACAAGGAGCAGGGGTTGCGTTCGCAGCAGCTCGAGTTGACGCACTTCGAGCTTATTCGAGGCGCGGACGAGTGGCTCTGGCGCCAACCATTCGCCAACGCGACGTGGTCCAGAGGGCTGGCGGCGAGGATGAAGCGCTTGCCTCCATCTGCGTTGACGATCGATCTGTGGCCGCAACACTCGCGCCAGCACGAGGACTGGAGGCGACACAAAAAAGACGCCGTCTCCTTGCTACGCGAAGGAGACGGCGTGGATCACTTCTATGATGTCTTCGAGCGCCAGGGGGTAGAGCGCTTGCTCGCCCGATACGAGGAGTCGCCCGATGGCTTCGTCCTCAAGGCGCTCTTTGGCCTCGTCGGCGCGCGCCTCGCGATGCGAGGCATCGAGCCGACGACCTGAGCCTCATTGCTTCATGAGCTCTTTGGGGATCTTCGATTCGTCAGGTCCGACGACGCCGAAGTGGTAGTTCTTGACGTACTTCTTGGTGACCTCCTGGATCTTCTCCGGCGTGACCGCGCGGAGCTTCTCGAGCAGGTTGATGGCGTACTTCCAATCACCCGTCATGATGTAGGCGCTGGCGAGCGCGGAGGCTTGGGAGCTGTTGGTCTCTTGACCCATGTAGAAGTTGGTGAGGTAGACGTTCAAGGTTTGCTCGAGGGCTTCCTTGGGGAGCGGCTTGCTCTTGAGCTCCTCGACCTGATCGAGCATCACCTTCAAGGTCGTCTCGGGGTCGACCGCGGTGACATAGAGGTAACCGTAGTTCGCGCGACGCGAGGAGAGCCCCGCAGAGACCGCGTAGGTCAGGTTGCGCTTGGTGCGGACCTCCTCGAACAACCTGTCACCGAGGTAATCCATGGCGACGACCATCGCGGGATAATCGGGGTGGCTGGGGCTCGGGGCCTGGAACATCCCGAAGATGTAGTTGGTGGGGAGCTCACGTTGCGTGAAGGCGACCTCGGGGCCACCTGCGTCGAGCGCAGGCAGCGGTGGAAGCTTCTTACCGCTCGGCGCGAGCTTTCCAAAGGATTGCTTGACCTTTTCGACGAGCTTCTCGCGAGGGACGCTCCCCGAGACCACGAGCAGCATGTTCTCGGGCTGGAGCAGCGAGGCTTGCCACGCGCGAAGGTTATCGCGGGTGAAGGACTTGACCGCCTCCTCGGTGCCGAGCTGGATGTGAGCGTAGGGGTGCCCGGCGAAGAACGTCTGGGTCGTCAGGTAGCTGACCTGAGAGTCGGCGTCCTCGTCGATAGCGGCGATCTGCGTGAGCTGGCGCGTGCGCGAGAGCTCGATGACATCTTCTGGCATCGCGGGCTCGAGCACGGTCTGCGTGAAGAGCTCCCACACATCATCGAAGTGTGGGACGATGGTCTTCATCGCGATGCCGGAGTAATCGCGGTCGTTGAAGCTGCCGATGGAGGCGCCGACAGAGTCGAGCCTCGTGTTGAACTCGTCCTTGGGTGTGGACTCGGTGCCGCCTGAGGTGGCGACGTCGAGCGCGAGGCGCTCGATCCCGGTGCTTTTATCTCCGAGGCGTTGCGAGCCACCGAGCAGGTAGAGTTGAGCGCTGACCACCTGGTTGGCGGCGATCGGCTTGTGCAACACGGTGAGCTCACCGATCTTGAGCGCGGTGACGCCTTCGTAGGTGCCGAGTTCCTCGACCGCAGGATCGCCTTCGATCATCTTCGCGGGTTGATATTCAGGGAGCTTCTCGGGGGCTTTGGTGGTCTGCTCGACCGGCTTTTCGTCGGGCTTCTTATCCTTGCAGGCGGCCACGCCGCCGGCGAGCGAAGCGATCAAAAACACACTGAGCGTCGTCTTCATCCAATTCTTCAACGCACTGTCCTTTCTCTTAAAGTTCTTCTCGAAGTTCGAGCTCATGGTTCTCACTCCTTGCCAGCGGCGGCTTCGACCTCGAGCGCGTAGGTTGTAAGCGACGCGGCATCGATCCCTTCCGCCTTGGCGGCCTCTTCCGAGAGCAGCACGCCGAGCACGAAGGGCTTGTTCAGGATGTAGGTCGAGACGTAGCGCGCGATATCCTCGCGCGTGACCGCGTTGAGTTCATCGACATACGACTTGTAGTAGTCGAGGCTCGCGGTCGCCCACCAGAAGCTCACGGTGTGAACGAGCGAGCTGATCTTCTCGCGCTCGTAGATGGCCTGGATCGCGAGGATCTGCTTGGCGCTCTCGAGCTGCTCGTCGGTGAAGTAATCCGGGTCGGTGAGCTTGTGGAGCTCGTCCATGATCGCCTTGACGGCGGGCTTGACCTTGCCGGGCTGGACTTGCGCCGAGGCGCTGATCGGACCTGTATAGCGTTGCGTGTAGTAGCTGGTGCCGGCGCCGAGCGTGATGCCTGACTCGACGAGGTTCTTGTAGAACTTCGAGGTGGGCTGCCCGAGGATATAGCTCAACACATCCGCGGCGTAGGTCGACTTGGGGTCGGTCGCGACGCTCGGGCCATGCCAGTTGAAGTTGATGTAGGGCGCGCGGACGTCTTTGATGACAACCACAGCCTCGCTCTTTTTGAGCGGGGGATGCGCTGGCACAGGATAGGTCTTGTGAGGATCTTCAGCGCTCGGCTTCCAGTCGCCATAGAGCTCCTCGGCGAGCGCGAAGGCTTCCTCTGGCTTGACATCGCCTGCGATAAGGAGCGCGGAGTTGTTCGGGACGTAGTAGCGCTCCTGCATCGTCTTCATCTTGTCGACGGTGGCCGTCGTGATGGTCTTGCGATCGCCGAGCGAGTCCTTGCGCGTCGGGTGCGCGTACCAGAGCTTCTCGCTGACCGCCTGTCCGATCCAGTAATAGGGGTTGGACTCATTGCGATCGACCTCGCCGATGACAACCTGGATCTCCTTTGTAAACTCTTCCTCCTCGAACTTTGGCGTGACGATGGCGTCGCGCATGAACTCGAGCCCTGGCGAGAGGTTTGCCGAGGGGAGGGTGAAGAAGTAGTTGACCCGTTCGGTGGAGGTGGTCCCGTTGAAGACGATGCCGAGCTCGCGCATCCTGCTCAGGTAAGCTTCCTGCGTGGGGATGACGGCGTTCCCTTTAAAGAACATGTGCTCGTAGAGGTGACTCAGTCCATTAAAGGGGGGCGGCTCGGTGTATGCGCCATTCTTGACCGCGATCTCGATGGTCACCAGCGGCACGGCGTGGCTCTCGATGACGATGACATCGAGGCCATTGGGGAGTTCTTTGAACGAGATGACCTCTTCGAGTTCATCGGCCTGTGCTTCGGGCGCAGGCATGATCGCCAGGGCGCTGACCCCGGCGATAAGCGCCCAGGCGGAGAGGGTCGACTTCAGATCGCGCATGGTTCCTCTTGTGGTGCGTGGTGCAAGTCAGAACGAATCGAGACGCGGCCAAAGAGGCCGCGTAAAACCTACCTTTTCGAGGGCATGAGTCTCGTCTCGCGCGCCCGGGTTGTCAACATGCGCGCCATGCAGCGAGCGCTTCACGCTCGCTGCATGGTGAGTCACAGTCTCCAGTGATACCCGACCTGGAAGAGGATGGCGCTGTAGACGGAGAACTCGGAGAAGGCGGGCGCTGCGCCGTGGAGCTCGACCTTGCCGCCAAAGGACCACTCTCGGCGAGGCCTGTAATAGAGGCCAAAGAATAGCTTCGCGCCTGCGCCAGGGGCGAGCGTGTTGTCCTCTGGTGCGCCCACAGGCGGTGAGTTGAGGTAGCCCACCAGGCCAGCGCCGACGTAGGGCACGTACTTGAACACATCGAAGTTGTAGCGCGCGCCGACGTATAGGTCCGAGACAATCACCGGGGGGAGCTCTCGCTTGTTTGAAGCCGGGTGATAGCTCCCATCGAGGCCGACCTGGAGGCCGATGAAGTCTCCGAGCGCCAGGTCGAGGCCAAATTGACTCGTCGCGCCGAGCTGCCGGTCAGGAGATCCTGGTCTTGTCACGCCAGAACCTGCGCCCATGATCAACCTGCCTTCGAGCGCGTTCGCTTCAGCGGGCGTGATCGAGATCGAGAAGGCACAAAGAAGGGCGAGCAGCGCGACCAACCCGGGTGAGTTGCTTCGGAGGCGACCGTTCATTTTCGGTGAACGTCGTGAGAGGAGCCTGTGTGAGGTCGACATAGAAGCGATGCTCCGCGGAAGCAGGGGGAGGCGCTGATCATGTGTTGGATGGCGAGGCGCATTGACACCCGGGGGGTGGCTCAATATAGTCCGCCGTTCAGGATGTGCGCCAAAGAAGTCGAGGCGCCATCGTTGGAAAACTTGTTGTAGAGATGACTCGCGCACCAAGTCAACCCGAGCCGGGCCAGGATGGCCTGAAAGTAGGGGAGTGACATGGAGTCGCGAGCGCGCGTGATGCGAAGCTTGCCAGTGATATGCCTCTCTCGGAACCCACGAGCCGAGGATATGAGCGAGCGGATACATGGGATGGTGATACGATGCCCAAGAAGATCAAGAAGCGTTCGAAGAAGAAGGACGAGGAAGTCCTCGACCAGGAAGAAGTTGGCACCGAATCCGAAGAGGAGGAGGGGCTAGGTCTTGACGCCGAGGAGATGGATGAGGTCTCCAACTTCGGGGATATGCTCGTCGACATCCCCGAGCACGAGCGTGACACCTTCCAGGAGATCAACTACCAGGCGGCCAACTGGATCGAGGATAACCGCACGGCGGCCATGGGGATTTTCTTCGCCGTCGTCTTGCTCCCGTTCGGTATCTACGGCGCGTACTACGCCAACCAGCAGTCGCAGGTGAAGGACTCGATGGAGGTCTCGGCGGCCATGGATGCGTATCGCTTCCCGGTCAAGGATTCGCCGCAGATGCAGATCTTCGAGCAGAACGACGACCTCAAGAAGCCAAAGACCATCTACGATTCGCGTCAGGCGAAGTGGGACGCGGTCTATAAGAAGGCGGACGAGGGGCTCAAGAAGCATTCTCAAGGGGACCTCGCGATCACCGCGCAGCTCTCCAAGGCCGCCGCCGCCTATCAGCTTGGCAAGTACGATGAGGCCGTCTCGCTCTACGAGAAGGTCATCTCGGACAAGCGCGCCGAATCATTGCGTCCTTTCGCCACGCTCGCCATGGCGATGAGTCAGGCAGGCAAGGGTGACGTCGACGCCGCGAGCGCGACCTTCGACAAGCTCGCTGGCTACGATGAGGAGTACAAGCAGCTCGCGCAGTATCACAAGGCGCGCGTCCTCGAGAGCGCTGGCAAGGTCGACGCCGCCAAAGAGGTCTACCACAAGCTGCTCGAGGAGAGCCCGACGACGACTTACAAGTCTGACGTCGAGCGACGCCTCGCCACGCTCTGATCCGATTCTATAACGGGAGCCCCATGCGCTACTTTCCCGCGCTTCTTATCACGCTCGCGCTCGCTCTGAGCGCGAGCGCTTGTTTCCCCGTTCAGCCCGCAAACGGAACCGCGCTCACCACCGACGCCGTCGCCGCCAAGCCCGAGCTCAAGCTCGTCTGGCGCACGCACGTCAGCGGCATGGAGTCCTTCGCGTTCCGTCCCCAGGAATACGCACGGCCTGTCTTCGTCACGCGCAGCGACGATATCGTCGTCGGGACCTCCGACGGCAACGTCACGCGCCTGCGCGCTGGCAGCGGCGAGATCGTCTGGCGCAAGCTGCTCTCGAGCACGCGCGAGGATGGCATCTTGCCGATTCATGCCGATCCTGTGGTTCACAATGGCGTGATCTACGTGGGCTCGATCAATGGCTCGGTGCTCGCGCTCGACTATGATGACGGCACTATCCTCTGGGAGTATCGCGCCGAGGATGCCATCGAGAGCACGCTCACCGTGTCCGAGGGGCGGCTCTTCTTCACCGATGCTCGCGAGATCCTCTATGCGGTGGATGCCGAGACCGGGAAGTTGCTCTGGCGCTTCCAGCGTCCCGCGCCCGAGTTCTTCACCATCAAGGGAGCCGGGACCCCGGTGATCGACGGCGACGCGGTGTATTGCGGCTTCGCCGATGGCACGCTCGTGGCGGTTCAGATCGACACCGGCGAGACCATCTGGACGAGTGATTTGACCAACGAGGAGGTCGAGTTCACGGATATCGACATGCCCGTCATCGTCGGTGATCGACTCCTTTACGCGGGCTCCTATTCGGGTGGTGTGTTTGGCATCAGCCGCCTCGATGGCACGGTGCAGTGGCGCGTGGATGTGCCCAGCGTGGCGCAGGTCAAGCGCTACGAGGGGATGCTTTACGTGGCGAGCGCGCAGGGTCGCGTGGTCGCCATCGATGGCATCTCTCAGAAGCCCGTGTGGTCCTTCAAGTTCATGGATGATTCGCCCGTCGAGCTCGTGCCGTATGGCCCCTACGTGTTTGTCTCCACGTCCTCGGGTCCGCTCATGATCCTGGATCGCGTGACTGGCAAGCCGCTCTCCAAATGGAATCCATCTACGGGGTTTAACACGCCGGTCGTGTTCGATGGCAACCGCGGGTTCCTGCTCTCCAACGGTGGCTACCTCTACAGCTTCGAGCTCGCGTTTTAGCACAATCGCTGACAACGAAAGAAGACAGAGCGCGAGAGGCCGCGGCGAATTCCGCCTCGCCTACTCCCCTTTGGGTTCACTCATCGGAGGATTTGCTCGCCGTGTAGATGATGAAAACGGCGATAAGTCCCGAGCCTGCGATCGTGAGCAGGATGCCGAAAATGATGAGCAGTTCCGGGAGTGATATTCCGAGCATGATGGGGTCCGTTTACTTGCGACGGTAGTACAGGAGCTGCACGGGCATCTTCTTGCTGATGGTCAGGCGGTCGCGCTCGGACTGTGGCCACGCCTGCATCGGGTAGTCTTCCATCGGCAGCGGCTCGAAGTCAGGGTGTGCGTTGAGCGCGGCGCGCATATCGCGCGCCAGCGGGCCGACGTCGGTCCTGCACCAGAGGATCCCGCCGCTGGCGAACTTCGGCGAGAGCACGTCGAGGTTCTCTGTGCGGATCACGCGGCGCTTGCGGTGCTTCTTCTTCCACCATGGGTCTGGGTAGAAGACAAACAACTCCTGGAGCTGGCCATCATCGAGCAAGATCGGCGCAGCGAGCAGGGCGTCCACGGCGAGCACGTGGACGTTCTGGTGACCTTGCTCCTCGAAGGTTCGGTTGGCCAAGTCCGCGTACTTTTTGCGAATCTCGATGCCGAGGTAAAACTTCTCGGGGTGGCGCTCGGCCATACCGCGCAAGAAGGCGCCCTTGTTCGAGCCGATCTCGAGCGAGACGCGCGGCGGCAAGGTGACCTCGCGCGCGTAGGCGCGAATCTCATCGAGCTGCCGGTCGTAGTATTTTTCGGTGATCTCGTCGAACGTGAAATCGAGGTTGGCCATCGAGGGCTCCGGAACGAGCGATGACAGAGGGAGTGATTTTTGATGTGGTCGGGCGCATCGCCTGCGCCCGAAACATCAGATCTCGTGGATCAAGCCATCCGCAGCGAGGTGCGTGTTGGCAAAGAAGGAACGCCCCAGCTCGCCGACCGCGTCCAGGTCATCGTCAGTCGATGCAGGATCGTGGTGGAAGAGGAAGAGGTCTTTGACACCGGCGCGCTCGGCGACCTTGGCCGCGATCTCGACGGTGGAGTGGCCGTAGCCCTGGGTGGGGGAGGGCATCGAGATGTAGCGATCGGAGGTGTACATCGCGTCGTGGATGAGGACGTCTGCGCCAGCGGCGAATTTGGTCAACCGCTGGTCGCCATGCACGTAACCCTCTGTGTCCGATGCGTAAACCACCGAGCGCCCATCGTAGGTCACCTTGTAGAGGAGCACGCCGCTCTTCGGGTGATTGAAGCCACGCATACACCGGACCTCGACCTCGACATCTTCGGGGCTCGGGCGCTCGGCCTTGGGGTGGCTGTGGAGCGCCTGGACAGGTTCGGATTGCCCTTTGAGGAAGTACACGGCGTGCGCTTCGGTGATGTCGTGAAACTGCTTCGACGACTGCATCTCGTACAGCGGCACCGGGAAAAAC